TTATCTCCCAATCATCACATTCGCTTTCATAAAAGACCAACCCCCTTAAAAAATATAAATATATATATATTTTTTTTTGAATTTCGAATAACATTTTTTTCTTCTTTCTTTCTGTAAGAAGTTGGGGAAGACTGTATTCCTCTGTTGACTTCCGAGGAAGGAAACCGAAGTCATAAAAAACACCCCTCCCCCCCCAAAAAAAAAAAAAAAAAAAAAGAGAAAAAAAATCCCGGAACACCTTCTTCGAAAAGAGACAATTTTTTGAAAGTTCGTCGCGTTCTTCCTCCCTCTTTTGGATTTGGATTCTTTGTCTCCGTCTTGGGAGAGCTTTGAAGGAGAAGGAGAGAGAGAGAGAGGAAAGGGGAGGGAGGGGGAGGGAGGCGAAAGGAGGGAGAGAGAGAGGGAGGGGGGGGATGGGGAGGGAAGGAATGGGAGAGACAGAGAGAGAGGGGGGGGGAGAGAAGAGGGAGAAAGAGAGAGAGGGGGGGAGTGTGAGAAAGAGGGAGAGAGACAGAGAGAGAGGGGGGGGGAGGGAGGGAGAGAGAGAGGGAGGGGGGGGGGAGAAGAGGGAGAAAGAGAGAGAGGGGGGGAGGGAGTGTGAGAAAGAGGGAGAGAGACAGAGAGAGGGGGGGGGGGAGAGAGAGGAGAGGGAGAAAGAGAGAGAGAGGGGGGGGAGGGAGAGAGAGAGGGAGGGGGAGGGAATGTGAGAGAGAGAGAGAGAAAAAAGAGAGAGAGGGAGGGAGTGAGAGAGAGAGGGAGAGAGAGAGAGCTTTGAAGGAGGAGAGAGAAGGAGAAAGAGAGAGAGAAGAGGAGGGGAGAGGGAGAGAGAGGAGAGAGAGAGAGAGAGAGAGAAAGATATATATATATATAAATATATATATATATATATATATATATATATATATATATATATATATATATATATATATATATATATATATATATATACAGAGAGAGAGAGAGAGAGAGAGAGAGAGAGATTCTACACCTTGCTCTCACTCCGTCGCTACAGAACCCGAGATGCGGAAAGTTTGGCGATAATATGACAGCATTTTTTTATATATATATATCTATTTTTTTCTCTCAAGATGGCTGTTGACTTTGGATTCTGCGCGACCGTCGTTTTCTTTTTCTTTTGCGGGAATTAGACTGTGTTTTTGTCTGCCCTTGGTCTGTCTGTCTACCTGTCTGTTTGTATATGTACATATATGAATGTATGTATGTATGTATCTTAGTATGTTTGTATGTATGTATGTATGTATGTGAGTATGTATGTATGTATGTATGTATGTTTGTATGTATGCATCTACTCATGTATGCATGTATATATGTATGCATGTATGTATTTGTGAATATATGTATCTGTCTGTGACTATCTGTGTGTCTGTTTGCCTGTCTCTTTCTATCTGTCTTCCTGTCTTTCTATCTATCTGTAGTGTTTCTCCATACATACATATTTTTCTACATCCTTCTCTCTTCGCCCTTCTCTTCCTTTCTCTTATTCTCTCTCTCTCTCTCCCTCTCTCCCTCTCTCCCTCTCTCTCACTCCCTCAACGCAACACTCCCTTTTCTCTTTCCCTTTTTTCTCTTTTCCCTTTCCCTTTTCCCTTTACCCCTTTCTCTTTTCTCATTTCTCTTTTCCCTTTCCTTTTTTCTTTTACTTTTCCCCTTTTCCTCCTCCCTCTTCCCCACCGTCTCTGCTGTTCCTCCGTCCCTTCTTCCCCCCTCTCTGTCTGCCGTCTCTGCTGTTCCCTTACCCTTCCCTCCTCCCCGCTCTTCCCTCTCCTCCTGGCTCTTCCCCTTACCTTCCCTCCCCCTCCTCTTCCTCCTGGCTCTTCCCCTTACCTTCCCTCCTCCTCCCTCTCCTCCTGGCTCTTCCCCTTACCTTCCCTCCTCCTCCCTCTCCTCCTGGCTCTTCCCCTTACCTTCCCTCCTCCTCCCTCTCCTCCTGGCTCTTCCCCTTACCTTCCCTCCTCCTCCTGCTCTTCCCCTTACCTTCCCTCCTCCTCCTCTCCTCCTGACTCTTCCCCTTACCTTCCCTCCTCCTCCCTCTCTCCTGGCTCTTCCCTCTGCCTTCCCTCCTCCTCCCTCTCCTCCTCCTGGCTCTTCCCCTTACCTTCCTCCTCCTCCTGCTCTTCCCCTTACCTTCCCTCCTCCTCCCTCTCCTCCTGACTCTTCCCCTTACCTTCCCTCCTCCTCCCTCTCCTCCTGGCTCTTCCCTCTGCCTTCCCTCCTCCTCCTCCCTCTCCTCCTGGCTCTTCCCCTTACCTTATTTTCGTTCCCTTTCCCTTTTCTTCTCTGAATATTGCGGTACTTGTTTTATCTGGCAAGTTCTATGTATGTATGTATGTATACATGTATGCATGTATGTATATGTATGTATATGTATGTATATGTATATATGTATATGTATGTATACATGTATGTATGTATGTGAGTATGTATGTATGTATGTATGTATGTATGTATGTATGTATGTATGTATGTATGTATGTATGTATGTATGTATGTATGTATGTATGTATGTATGTATGTATGTATGTATGTATGTATGTATGTATGTATGTATGTATGTATGTATGTATGTATGTATGTATGTATGTATGTATGTATGTATGTATGTATGTATGTATGTATGTATGTATGTATGTATGTATGTATGTATGTATGTATGTATGTATGTATGTATGTATGTATGTATGTATGTATGTATGTATGTATGTATGTATGTATGTATGTATGTATGTATGTATGTATGTATGTATGTATGTATGTATGTATGTATGTATGTATGTATGTATGTATGTATGTATGTATGTATGTATGTATGTATGTATGTATGTATGTATGTATGTATGTATGTATGTATGTATGTATGTATGTATGTATGTATGTATGTATGTATGTATGTATGTATGTATGTATGTATGTATGTATGTATGTATGTATGTATGTATGTATGTATGTATGTATGTATGTATGTATGTATGTATGTATGTATGTATGTATGTATGTATGTATGTATGTATGTATGTATGTATGTATGTATGTATGTATGTATGTATGTATGTATGTATGTATGTATGTATGTATGTATGTATGTATGTATGTATGTATGTATGTATGTATGTATGTATGTATGTATGTATGTATGTATGTATGTATGTATGTATGTATGTATGTATGTATGTATGTATGTATGTATGTATGTATGTATGTATGTATGTATGTATGTATGTATGTATGTATGTATGTATGTATGTATGTATGTATGTATGTATGTATGTATGTATGTATGTATGTATGTATGTATGTATGTATGTATGTATGTATGTATGTATGTATGTATGTATGTATGTATGTATGTATGTATGTATGTATGTATGTATGTATGTATGTATGTATGTATGTATGTATGTATGTATGTATGTATGTATGTATGTATGTATGTATGTATGTATGTATGTATGTATGTATGTATGTATGTATGTATGTATGTATGTATGTATGTATGTATGTATGTATGTATGTATGTATGTATGTATGTATGTATGTATGTATGTATGTATGTATGTATGTATGTATGTATGTATGTATGTATGTATGTATGTATGTATGTATGTATGTATGTATGTATGTATGTATGTATGTATGTATGTATGTATGTATGTATGTATGTATGTATGTATGTATGTATGTATGTATGTATGTATGTATGTATGTATGTATGTATGTATGTATGTATGTATGTATGTATGTATGTATGTATGTATGTATGTATGTATGTATGTATGTATGTATGTATGTATGTATGTATGTATGTATGTATGTATGTATGTATGTATGTATGTATGTATGTATGTATGTATGTATGTATGTATGTATGTATGTATGTATGTATGTATGTATGTATGTATGTATGTATGTATGTATGTATGTATGTATGTATGTATGTATGTATGTATGTATCCCTCCTCCTCCTGGCTCTTCCCCTTACCTTCCCTCCTCCTACCCTCTCCTCCATGACTCTACCCCTACCTCAAAAAAAAAACCAAAAAAACTCTTCCTCCTGGCTCTTCCCTCTGCCCTTCCCTCCTCCTCCCTCTCCCCTGGCTCTTCCCCTTACCTTATTTTCGTTCCCTGTTTCCTTTTCTTCCTCTGAATATTGCTGTACTTGTTTTATCTGGCATTTCTATCTACATTTACGTCTTCTTTTTCTTCTTCTTTTTCTTCATCTTCGTCTTCTTCTTTTTCTTCTTCTTCCTTTATCACTCCCTTTGTCGTTTTCTTTTCTTATTATCTCTTTCCTTATTTGTTTCCTTTTTTTTTCCTTTTTTAACTTTTCCGTGTGTATTGACCGTGTTTATATCTCTCTTTCTATCTGTCTATTTATTTATCTATCTATCTGTCTGTTTAACTGTTTATGTGTCTGTCTGTCTGTCTATTTATTTAAATTTCTCTCTCATTCTCTCTCTCTCTCTCTCTCTCTCTCTCTCTCTCTCTCTCTCTCTCTCTCTCTCTCTCTCTCTCTTTCATATATCCATCTATTATTCTCTCCCGTTCTCTTCCTTGTTCTACCTTTCTCTCCCTCCTGTTTTATCACGACTTCTATTTTGCTCTAAATATATCACTAATATTATCCTTGCTTCAGACCTATCCATATATTTCTAATGCAGCTCCTTTCTCTCTCTCTCTCTATCTATCTATCTATCTATCTATTGCGATATTGCCCTAAAAATAATTGATTTTCATAAAGAATAAAAAGTAAAACTGACACAATAATTATATCGAAAAGCAAATTCACGAAAAAAATGGGAAGGAAAACTGATGATTAAAGAAGCAGGAATAAACGGGAATATTTTAAACGATGAATATATACCGTGTGGACCCCGGGGTAGAATAGGTCCAACGTACCCTCTGCGTGTCGTAAGAGGCGACTAAAAGAGGTTGGCGGCAGGAAGGGCATCCGGCCGTAAAAAACCCTGCCAAGCCAATACATGATGCGGAGAATCAGGAATGCAGACAGAGCTAGGGCGTACCCCGCAGGCGACGCGTCGGATGACCGCCGTGATCTGGCGACAAATGGGCAACGGCTACCGTATCAAGAGCGGATACGGCTAAAGAAGCAAGCTCAGAGGAAGAGGAAGAAGAAGAGAGAGGCACGGAGAACCACCAGGAAACTACGAATCGGCACACTCAATGTGGGAACGATGACTGGTAGAGGAAAGGAGACTGTTGACATGATGGAAAGACGGAGTATCAACATCCTATGCGTACAGGAGACCAAGTGGAAAGGAGCGAAGGCCAGAGAAATGGGTAATGGGTACAAGATGTACTACGTAGGACACGACACTAGAAGGAACGGCGTCGGGATAGTGCTAGACCCTGAGATGAAGGAAGGTGTGCTGCAGGTTCACAGGGAATCTGACCGTGTGATGTGGATGAAGGTGGAAGTGGAGAACGAACCGGTGAACATCGTATGTGCATACGCACCACAAGTGGGCTGTGACGACGTGGAAAAGGAAGACTTCTGGAGAACAGTGAGCGAGGTCATGGTAAAGATCCCAAGAACTGAGAGAGTCTGGATTGGGGCAGATCTGAATGGACATGTGGGTGGTGGAGCGCAAGGATATGGAGACAACATCGGTAAATTTGGGTTTGGAACGAGGAACGAAGAAGGGCAGACCATCCTAGACTTTGTGGCGGCAAACAACCTGGCGGTCACAAACACCTATTTCAAGAAGAAGGACTCGAGGAAGATCACCTACACAAGTGGTGGTGTGAACTCCCAGGTGGACTATGTCATATGCAGGAGAAGTGAGCTGAAAAGAGTACAGGACTGCAAGGTGCTGCCAGGTGAAGCGGTTGCGAAGCAACACAAAGTGGTCATCTGTACAGCGACCATGAAGACAGAGACAAGGAAGAAACCGGACAGAACCAGGAAGACAAGATGGTGGAAACTGAATGAGCAGGAGCACAGGGAAAAGTTTGTGGAGAAGGTCAGGGAAGGTGTGGAAGCACAGGCAGAGAAGACGTGGGCGGAGTCCAGCAGAGTGCTGACTGAGACGGCAAAGGAGGTCCTTGGCGTGACATCTGGAAAACCAGGAAAGAAGGAAGAGACATGGTGGTGGGGAGAGGAAGTCCAAGACGCAGTGAAAGAAAAGAAGGAGGCGAAGAAACAGAGAGATCTGAATAGATGTGAAGAGACAATCGAAAGGTACAAGGCGGCGAACAAAGCTGCGAAGAGAGCTGTTGCAAAAGCCAAATCGGAAGCGTACAAAGATCTATACGACAGTCTGAAGGACGACGAGGAAGGCCAAAGGAAAGCGATCCGGATTGCAAAACAGAAGAACCGAGAATCCCAAGATGTCTATCAGAGCAAGCAGATGAAAAACACAGACGGAGCGGTACTGACGGAAGAAAGCGATATCAAGGAAAGATGGAGGTCGTATTTTGAACAACTGATAAATGTGGAGAACGAAAGAATCGACAGAACCGTGGAAGCAAGAGCAGAGACTGAGGTAGAGGAGATAAGAGAAGAGGAGGTTGTGAAGGCTCTGAGGAAGATGAAGAACGGCAAGGCGACAGGACCGGACAACATCCCAGTGGAAGCATGGAGAGTACTGGGCCGAGCAGGCGTGAAAATACTCCTGGAAATCTTCACCGGAATTATGGAAAGTGAGAGAATGCCAGATGAGTGGAGAGACAGCACGCTAATACCGATATTCAAGAACAAGGGGGACATCCAGGAATGTGGTAACTACCGGGGCATCAAACTGATGTCACACACTCTGAAAATATGGGAAAGGATCATCGATGGAAGACTGAGGGCGATCGTGACGATTTCGGAGCAACAGTTCGGTTTCATGCCAGGCAGGTCCACGACAGACACAATATTTGCGCTGAGACAACTGATGGAGAAATACAGAGAGGGTCAAAGGGAGCTGCACAGTGTCTTCATTGACCTGGAAAAGGCGTACGATAGAGTACCTAGATCGGAGGTGTGGAACTGCTTGAGGCTGAAAGAGGTGGACGAGAAGTATGTCAGGATAATCCAAGACATGTACGAAGGCACGACAACGAAGGTGAAGTCCATAGTGGGAACCACGGACAGTTTCCAAGTCAAAGTGGGATTGCACCAGGGATCCGCACTTAGCCCTTTCCTCTTTGCATTGGTCATAGACTGCCTGACGGTAGCAGTGCAGAGGACAGCACCATGGGATCTGATGTACGCAGACGATGTAGCACTCAATGGAGAGACGAATGAGGAGGTGGAAGAGAGGTTGGAACAGTGGAGAAAGGCAATGGAAGAGCGAGGCATGAAGGTTAGCAGACAGAAGACCGAGTACCTCTGCATGGGCGAACAAGAGCCAGAGAGAGAAGTGAGGATGCAGGGAGCGAAGCTAAACCGAGTCCAAGAATTCAAGTACCTGGGCTCCACGGTGCAGTGTGACGGAGGGTCGGATAAGGAAGTAGGGAAGAGGATCCAGGCGGGTTGGAATGCATGGAGGAAGATTACTGGAGTACTCTGTGACAGGAAGGTACCACCAAAGTTGAAGGGCAGACTCCACAAGACCATGGTCAGGCCGGCAATGTTATACGGAATGGAAGCAGTGGCGGTGACGAAAGGCCAGGAGACAAAGATGAATGTGGCAGAAATGAGGATGCTAAGGATCGCGCTGGGGAAGACGAGGCGGGATAAAATCCGCAACACAACGATCAGAGAGACCATTGGAGTAGGAGAGCTCGGGGAGAAGCTGAGGGAGTGCAGACTCAGGTGGCTGGGACACGTGACAAGGAGAGAGGACGAGTACGTGGGCAAGAGGGTGAGGAGACTGGTGGTTGGGGGAAGAAAGAGGGGAAGACCGAAGAGGAGATGGGAGGATTGCATCAAGGAGGACATGGAGACGGCGGGAGTGACGGAGGGGGAGGCCCTGGATAGGGCAGAGTGGAGGAGGAAGATCCGCACCGGCGACCCCAGTTGAACTGGGACAAAAGCCTGTAGAAGAAGAAGAAGAAGATTTTAAACGATGAATATATATATATATATATATATATATATATATATATATATATATATATATATATATATATATATACATATATAACAAAGGAAAATAGTAACGAAAAATTAAAATATTTATTTTTGATGAATGTAATGATGGTCTTTATCACCAGATAAATGAGAATAGATTAGAACTTTATCAACAGGTCTATTACTGTAAGAAATTAACAGTCGAATTTCAAAGAAACTTATAAATTCTGTTCTCGTATGCACTCAAGTTTCTGTTTATGAGGAATGAATTTCAAATAAAACGTTAGCCGTAATTCTCTCTCTCTCTCTCTCTCTCTCTCTCTCTCTCTCTCTCTCTCTCTCTCTCTCTCTCTCTCTCTCTCTCTCTATCTATCTATCTATCTCTCTCTCTCTCTTTCTTCCTTTCCCTCTTCCTCTTCCCCTCCTTCTTCTCTGTCACTCTTTATATAAGAAAAATAAATAAAACAAAAGAAGGGAAAACAAAGAAAAGGATATAATATATACATATTACATATCATATGAATATATATATAAATAATGGAAAGGAAAAAAAGAAAGAAAAGACATTAAAAGAAACAACAAAATAAAGATAAGAGAGAAAAAAAAGTGAAAAGTAAAAAAATGGGAAAATAAAAGAAATAAAAGAAAGAAGAGAAAAAAACATGAATAAAGAATGAAAAGAGAAGACAGAAAAGAAAAGAAAAGAAAGCAAGAACTATTGTTTTTATTATTATCATTACTGTTACTTCTTTTACTTCTCATCATTATTATTATTATTGTTATTATCATTATTATTATTATCATTATTATTACTATTATTATCATTATCATTATCATTATCTTTATCATTATCATTATCATTATCGTTAATCGTTAATCGTTAATCGTCAATCGTTAATCATTATCATTATCATAATAATAATGATAATAGTACTGTTAATGATAATAGTACTGGAAAATAATAATGATAATAGTACTGTTATTAATGATAACTACAATACAACTACAACTGCCTCTACTACTACTAATGATAATGATAACAGTAATGTTAATAATAGTCATAATAATGATAATGATAATTAAAATGATAACACAATTAAGGATAAGAATGAAAATAATAATAATAATTAGGATAACAAAAACAACAATAACAACAACAATGATAATAATAATGACAATAACGGGGATAATAATGATAATAATAATGATAAAAATAATATTAATGATAATAATGATAGTAATGATTATGCTAATAATATTAACATTGATATTAAAGTTAATAATAATAATAATAATAACAATAATATTAATAATACAACAACATTATGATTATAATATTCTAATAATTAATATTGCTATTCTTATTATGTGTTATTATTATTGATATTATTATTTTCATTATTACTTTCATTATTATTAGTTTTATCATTATCGTCATTTTTATTTCCATTATTATTATTATAATTATTGCTATGGTTAAAATTATCATTACTATTATTATCATTATTATTGTTAGGCTAGGTAAGGTTAGGTTAGGTTAGGTTAGGTTTTGTTAGGTTAGGTTAGGTTATATTAGGTTAGCTTTGGTCTCTCTCTCTCTCTCTCTCTCTCTCTCTCTCTCTCTTGTAATATGGTTTTTATCCTATTATTTAGTATTATCAGCATTTTTATTATATTTCTTTATTCATTCATAATGAATGTAATAA